AGAGAATTTCCAGAAATGCAAGCTGTATTCAGAAGAAGATGCAGAACAAGGGATATTATTGCTAATGCCAGATGGATCTTGGCTGAAAGCAAAGAATACCAGAAAGACGTTTACTTGTGTTTTATTGACTATGCAAAAGCATTTGACTGCGTGGATCTCATCAATGTTATGGATAACATTGAGAAGAATGGGAATTCCAGAACACTTAATTGTGCTCAGGAGGAACCTGGGCATAGACATAGGCTGTTGTTCAAACAGAACAAGGGAATACTGCATGATTTGAAATCAGGAAGGGAGTGTGTCAGGGTCGTATACTTTCACCATACTTATTCAATCTGTATGCTGAACAAATAATCTGAGAAGCTGGACTATATGAAGAAGAGTGTGGTATCAGGGTTGGAAGAAGACTCATTAACAACCTGTGTTATGCAGATGACACAACCTTGCTTGCTGAAAGTGAAGATGACTTGAAACACTTACTGATGAAGATTAAAGACTACAATCTGCAGAATGTATTACACCTCAGCATAAAGAAAATGAAAATCCTCACAACTGGACCAGTAAGCAGCATCATGATAAATGGAAGGAAGATTGAAGATGTCAAAGACTTTGTATTACTTGGTTCCACTATCAACACCAATGAAGGCAGCAATGAAGAAATCAGACAATATAATTGTTGTTGTTGTTGTTGTTGTTATGTGTTGTCGATTCAGCCCTGACTTGTAGTGACCCCTCTTTGGGTTTCTGAGGCAGTATCACCATGGAAGCAGATTGCCCAACCAACTGTGGTGGTTAAATTTGTGTGTCAACTTGGCTAGGCCTGGATGAGTGGATGTGTAGCTGGATGTAGTATTCCCCCTGATAAGACTGGTAATCAACTCCATGGTGGCATCTACTGTGAGAAGATGAGTAGCTGCCTTTGAGTATGTGGTCTGTTTCCTGTATATAAAAAGCAGCTTATGGCACCCTTGAACCCTGCATATAGCTTTGTCATTGTTCAGCAGCCTGCCATGCTCTGCTGATCTTGGGACTTTCAATGGACTTGAATCAATGGCCTACTGTGTGGTTTGGTAACATCAATACTGTGCCATTTTATGTGTTGACCTTGGGCTTGTTAGCCTCAGCAGCCAGTAGCTGCCTGAGTGAGAAGATGCCTCTAGCTTCAATGGGCCAGGAGCAAGAGGCAGACCTGAAGCCCAAGATCTAGGGGCTTTCACATAGCCCCTAGAGCCTGGCACTTTGACCTTGGACTTAAAGCCTCCAAACTGTAAGATAATAAATTCCTGTTTTTTCAAGCATCCCGTTTGTGGTATATTCTTGTCAGAGTGGAACTAGGTAACCAGAACAATAATGCACTTGGCAAATTTGCTGCAAAAGACCTCTTTAAAGTGCTAAAGAGCAAAGCTTCTCCTTGAAGACTAAGATGTGCCTAACCCAAGCCATGGTGTTTTCAGTCGCCTCATATGCATGTGAAAGCTGGACAATGAATAAGGAAGACCAAAGACAAATTGATTCTTTTGAGTTGTGGTGTTGACAAAAAATACTGAAAGTACCATGGCCTGCCAGAAGAACTAATAAATTTGTCCTGGAGGAAGTGCAGCCAGAATGCTCTTTGTAAGTGAGAATGGCCAGGCTTTGTGTCACCTACTTTGGTGATGTTGTCAGAAGGGACCATTCCCTGGAGAAGGATATCATACTTGGTAAAATGGAAGGTCAATGAAAAAGAGGAAGGCTCTCAATGAGATGGATTGACACAATGGCTGCAACAATGGACTCAGGTATA